CCTCCACCCTCATCCCTCCTCCTCACTCCACCCTCCTCCCTCCTCCCTCCCCCCATCGTCCTCCTCGTTCCTCCTCCCTCCTCATCCTCCTTTCTTTCCTCAATCCATCCTGCTCCTCCTCTTCTCCTCCTCCCTCCGCCCTCTTCCCTTCTCCCTCCTCCCTCCTCCCTCCTCGTCCATCCTCCCTCCTGTTCCTCCCTTATCCTCTTCCTCGTCTCTCCTCCTTCCTCATCCCTCCTCCCTCATCCTCCCTCCTGCTCATCCTTCCTCTTTCGTCCTCCTCATCCCTCCTCCACCCTCATCATCTCTCCTCCCTCCTCCCCCTCCTCCCTCCTCCTCCTCCTCCTCCTCCTCCTACGTCTCCTCCTCCCTCCTCAGTCTTTCCGTTCCAGAGGAGGGGGGGGGGGGGGAAACGTTGCTTCAGACCGCCCTTCTTTGACGTTTACCCGCGCTTCAACGCCAGTTGGAAGCAGCGTGCCAATCGACCACCCTACGGCACCGATTGATCACCCCCTGTATGGTCGTTCGTACACCCCTGTGCGGAAACTCCCGCGAATGGCGCCCGCGGCTCGTTACCGTGTGATAAGGATTGCGAAGGAGGGAAAGAACGCAAAGACGTGGGGGCAGATTATCACAAAGACGCGCACAATCAGATTTCACCGCCACCACATATTGATGTTGGACCGCTTGCTCACCGACACCGTCTGCAGCTAAAAGGGGAGAGGGAGAGTGAGGGAGAGGGACACAGCGAGAGAGAGAGAGAGAGACAGTGAGAGAGAGAGAGAGAGAAAGTGATGCAATGCACGAGTCTAGGCTGCAGATCACTTCGGCGCGTTCTTGTTTTCATCATCATCAGACAAACTGCACTTCCCACAACCAACACCCCATCGCGCACAATATCCACAAATAATTCCGCGTTCCCCAAGTAACCAAAGTGTGGATCCGAAAGCATGTGCTGCTGCGTCACACCCTGCCGTAGAAGAAATACTCGAACACGTGAACCGACGGACCCGGCTTCACGCACGAGAACGGGGTAACTTGCATATCGGCTGGGAGTCGGGCTGATTGCTCGCGTGGTAATAATACCAAGAGGACGATTCAGAAGACACTTGGCCCCATCCACCGTGCCATCTTGCACAATTGCCGCCGTAGTTCGCGTCTGGCCAATAACCCGCGCTAAGTCCGAGAGCCCTTGCAGCATCGTCACACTCTGATGAATCAGAAACAGCTTGGGCGGGGAAACTACACGAAGATGCAACGATGTAGGCGGCACTCGAGCTTTGAGTACTAATTGATCCAAGCTGTGAATCATGCGTACGATGTGAGATCGCTTGCACTTGCGCACCCAAAAATAAACATGTACAAACAAGCACCTGGATTACGTAATAATAGCGGAAGAGCATGGTGGATGTTCAAGCAGCGCTCGCGGTTCAACGGACGTTACCAAACCAAAGCGAGCGCCTTGACAGAATGGCTACGAACGGAGAAGGCCAGGAAGAACACGAAGAGGAGGACACACGCACACACACACACACTGCTTCCCACCGTGCCCAGATGGGTTGCAATCAGCAAGGTCAAGTTCTACTGAGACGGGTCACGTTCAAAGTGAATTGGCCAACCTGCGTGGCAGCGTAAAGAAGGCTGAGACTCTCGGTGGGGAACGGGCATAGCCGACTGCTGAAGAGTCAAGATCAGGCGCAAGCTAGAAACCACACACACAGCGCACACAGCGCACACACACACACACACACGCACTTTCCTCGGCGGCGAGGCAGAGGCAGTCCGCACCAGCGTGGGGCTAACCGGGGCAACCAGGCAGGCGAAATGTCCGGCGTGCAAGAGGGCCACACACACACACTCACTCACGACCCACACACACACACACGCGGGCGCGAAAATAAAAGACATGAATTATTAGAGCAGGCCCCTGGGCACCCTCGAACTAGCCTGGGCGGGCTGCAGCTCGATGCAAGGGCGTAGTTGCAGGGTCAAGAGGAGCTCAGGGAGCAGCAGCAGAGGGAACGCACGCAGCGTGTGCTTGTTTGGCTACGAGGGCACGCAGCTCGAGGAGGAGCAGGAAGAGAAGGAGAGGGAGGAGGGAGGAAAAAGACGCCAGGGAGGAGGAGGAGAAATAGGAGAAGAGAGAGAGGAGCGAGGACGGCGGAGGCAAGCGGTGTGGCTGGAACGTGCCCGCCAACGAGCGCATACTCCTGAGATCTCTGAGCACGCGCGGCGCCCCCGGGGGAAGGCGAGGCACACCTGGTCTAAGCATGGCTGGGTCATGCCACCAGCGTGACGTGGCGGTGGCCCTGGAACACACTTTTTTGATTCGCGGGTCGAGAGCGCACCTCTTCCGGTCGAAGCTAAGCGGGCCGCGCGAAGCTTGAATTAACCAGAGATGGGGGATGTGACCCTGGAACACACACTGCGACCTGCAGGCGGACAGCGTGTCCCTCCGCTTCGCGGAGCCGGAGGCTGGAAAGAGCTCGGGACGTTGACGCTTGGAAGCTGGAGCGCGTTTGGCGCGTCGCGCCGAGGCGCCTGTGGGCCAGAACCGGCGGCGCGACAGGCCAAGCAAGCGTTCCCGACCGCAGACTCCACACGCATGAGAGCAAGGCACAAGGCAGAGCTCATCGTGCCCCTCCTCCTCCCCCTCCTCCTCCTCCTCCTCCTCCTCCTCCTCCTCCTCCTCCTCCTCCGCCTCCTCCTCCTCCTCCTCCTCCGCCTCCGCCTCCGCCTCCTCCTCCTCCACCTCGTCCTCCTCGTCCTCCTCCTTCTCCTCCTCCTCCTCCTCCTCCTCCCTGCGGCGCGCTTTCCTCGTTCCGCTCGGGGGGGTCTCCCGACGCCCGTGCGAGCGGGGCACCGCGGAGCGACCCTGGGCGCTCAAAGCGGCGCCCTGGGCCCCGCACGAGTGGCAACCAAAAGGCGCCCTGGGCCCCGCGCGAGCAGCAACAAAAGAACAATCCTCCCACTGCCGCTGTGGCTCGCGTTCGACGCTGCACGGGCTCTGAGATGATGATGATGATGATGATGATGATGATGATGATGATGATGATGATGATGATGATGATGATGATGATGATGATGATGATGATAATGGGAATGATGATGCTGATCATGATGATGCTGATGATGATGACGACGACGACAAGGACCATGACGATCATGATGGTGATGCTGATGACGGTGATGGTGATGAAGAAGACGATGGTGATGATGGTGCTGATAATGATGAGGATGATGCTGCTGATGATGATGATGATGATGATGATCATGGTGATGACGGTTATTAGAAATTATTGCGGCGATGATGACGATGATGGTGATGATGATGGTAATGGCGACGTCGATGGCGATATCGATGACGATGACGATGGCGATGATCATGATGTTGACGACGATGATGATGATGATGGTGATGGTGATCATGATGGTGATGGTGATCATGATATTTATAATGACAATGATGATGACGATGATGCTGATGATGATGGTGATGGTGATGATGACGATGACGATGACGATGACGATGACGATGACGACGATGATGATGATGATGATGATGATGATGATGATGATGATGATGATGATGATGATGATGATGATCGCAACGTCTTCCTCCGTCCCACTGTGTTTCGCTAGAGGGTCCTGGAGATGCCCCCAAAAAACTACGAGTCCCACAAGGGGGATGGTGAGCACGCGTCCGCCCGGCGCCAGTAGCCGTTTTGCTTCAGACTTCCACAGCATATTCAGGAATCGTGCTATCGCCCCAATGCAGGCTACATTTCTGGTGCGGACGGCCACGCTTCTCTTCTAGGGGGAAGAAAAAATGTGATGCACATGGCCATGCTCTCACCCCTGTCACCCGGCCACGACTCCTTTCAAAAATACACACTACGATGCACATGCACGTGCTCTCACCCCCGTCGCACACGGCCAAGACCCCGTGTGAAAAAACACAACGATGCACATGGCCATGCTCTCACCCCTGTCGCACGGCCACGATCCTGCGTGAAAAAACAAGACAGTGCACCTGGCAGTGCTCTCACCGCTGTCATACGGCCTAGATTCCTTGCAGAAAGAACTGCAGTGCACATGGCCGCGATGTCACCCCTGTCACACGGCCACGATCTCTTGTGCAGAAATACACTACGATACACACGGCAGTGCCTCCACCCCTGTGACCTGGCCGCGACCCCATTGCAAGCAAATGCTACGGTGCACATGGGCGTGCACTCACCCCTGCCTCACTGCTACGATCCCGTTTAAAATTTGCACAACGATACACATGGCCATGCTCGCACCACTGCCGCACGGCCACCATCACGTGTAAAGAAACACTACGGTGCACCTGGCCAGGCACTCACCCCTGTCACACCGCCACGAACCCTTGCAGAAAAACACTACGGTGCACAGGGCCGCGTTCCCTCAAGAAACTACTATGGTGCACATGGCCGAGCTCTCGCCCATGCCACACGGCCACGATCCCGTGTGCAAAAACACTACGGTGCACATGGCCATGCTCTCACCCATGCCACACGGCCACGAATCCTTGCACAAAAACGCACTGCTGTGCCCACGGTCGTGCTCGCACCCCTGTCACACGGCCACGACACCGTGCAAAAATAACACCACGGTGCACATGGCCGTGATCTCACCCCTGTCACACCGCCACGATCCCTTGCAGAAAAACACCACAGTGCACATGGCCGCGCTCTCACCCCTGTCACACCTAGGATATCTCTGAGAAAACCTAGGGATGCACGTGCCCACTAGCCTCTCTCCTACTCCTCGACGCGCATCTTCACCTTTGCGCTAGGGAGCTTTGCTGGGGCATGTGTTTCACAACGCGAGCATGCCTGGGTCAAGCTCCTCCTCCTCCTCCTCCTCCTCCTCCTCCTCCTCCTCCTCCTCCTCCTCCTCCTCCTCCTCCTCCCCCCTCGTCCGCGCCCCCATCCAAACTTTGACGCTCGGGCGGAAGAGGGAGGACACCCCCTCTCCTGCGGGTAGGGCGGCAGCGCTGGCGATCGCCGGGGCAGGGCGCGGCCTGGCGGGGCCCGGGAGAAGGCGGGGGATTGCGACGGGGAAGCACGGCGACCCCTATCCCCGACTTCGGCCCCAACACGCCTACGGCCAGGAACGTTTGCTTACCGTGTCGCGGCGGCGGCCCCAGCGACACGCTATGCCTTGCAAGCGGATAGCTTGTCGCTCCGCTCCGCGGGGCGGGAGGCTGAGAACAGCTCGGGACGCTGACGCCTGGAAATGAGAAGGTTGATAATGTGTCGCGCAGAAGCGTGGTGGGCCACTGGGCCAGAACTGGAAGAGCGGCACGGTAAGCCAAAGTTCCCGACCGGAAACGATGGGCCAGGCGGGCCCGAGCCAACCCCTAGAGAGCAACAAATATTGAAAAACCATGCTGTATTCATTGTCGTTTGCTTGCTCCTGGGGTTTCCCAAAATTGGTTCAAGACCGCCCAGAAAGCTCCCGAGATTGCCCGACAAGCCCCCCAAGTGGCCCCATGAGGCCTCAAGATGCTGCCAAACTCGCAACAAGGATCGCCCAACAAAGCCGCAGGATGGGCCCAAGATGCCCTCAAGGGGGTCCAGTACTGCCAGAAGATGCCACGAAGAGGCCCCAGGATGACCCAAGAAAGCCCCCAACACCGTCCCAATATAGCCACAGAGAGGCTCAGCCTTGGGTGCTGGCGGCAGAGGGTGCAGCCCTCCATGTGCGTGTGTGCGTGTGCATACATATCCGCCACCGTGCCTCGAGGCACGAAGTAGAGTTACCCCCAGGCTTTCATGTGTTCTGTGTCCTGAATCCTGGATTATAGTAAAAGGGGCCCCGACCATGCATTTCCAGACTGTCCTGGCTCCAAATAGCAGAGCGGCGCTCTGCTGAATTTGCCCCACAGTATACGCACTCGCTGCTCCTCCCCTCATTAACAGAGCGCTGCTCTGCGAATTGGTTCCCAAGCAAGGTTCCCCATCCTGCTCGGGCTCTGATTAGAAGAGCATCCCTTTGATAAGTGGCCTCAGAGCATGTGCGCGTTCACTGTTTCTCCTCTCATTTGCAGAGCGCCGCTCTGCTAATTTGGCTCAGAACATGCGACGCGCTGCTCATGCCTTATCCACCCGATGGCCCCAAAACGGACCAGGAGGGCCACAAGAAGCGCCTCAGAGGGTCCGAGAGGCCTCCAAGGCGGCCGTCGAACGCTCCAAGACGCCCCAAATGGCCTCAAGACGGCCAAGAGGCCATACAGAAGCCCCAAGAGCGCTCCAATGGGGCCCCAAGATGCACAATAAATTGTTCCTCTTGTGGTTGTCAATATGTTTTCGCGTTCTCGCGCTTTCGGGCTTCCGACGCTCCAAGATGGCCGCAGAGGCCCCCGAGACCGCCCCAAGACGGCCCAAGAGGCCTCCAAGAGGGCCCCAAGACGGCCCAACAGACAGAATGCCATACGCCGGATCGCGTGGGCAAAGGAAAACAATGCCAGCAAAGACTCCCCGCTTCACGGGAGCGGCTCCTTGTCGGCTGTCTCTTAATTGACGCCGCGCGCTGCCTCAGGACGAAGGACGAGGGGGGAGGAGAGACGCAACATCGATCGCGAATCTGCGCCTGGCTGCTGGCTCACAGAAGCACTGCATTACTGTCTTATGCAAGGTGCGGAGCGACAGCTTTGTACAAACACTTCGCCCACTCATTTCTGGGCCGGCTTCGTGCTCGGACGCATGCGTCTGTGGCTGGCTGCGCGCTTCCTGGTTGGAAGGTGCGGCGACGCAGAAAATCTGAATCTTTCGCACTACATATCTTGCCCAAGAGGCCCAAAGGGGCCCCAAAAAGGCACAACAGGCGCCAAAGACTGCCCAAGACAGCCCGATGACTGCCCCAAGAGTGGCCCAAGAGGGGGGACACGAACCGACAATTCACGCCTTCCGCCCCGAGAGACCCCCAGGAGGCCCAAAGAGGCCCCGAAGAGGCCCGACGAGGCCCCCAAGAGGCCCAAAAAGAGGCCCCCAAACGGCCCTCAGGAGGACCCAAAACTGCCTCCACGAGACCCCCGAGAGGCCCCCCACGATATCTAAAAGAACATCCAAGAGGCCTCTAACCCACAACCCAGGCAGGGTCACGGGATGGGCCGAAGGCCACCCTATATATATATAGATATATATATATATATATATATATACATATATAAGAGAGGGAGGAGAGGGAGAGAGAGAGAGAGGGAGAGAGACAGAGAGACAGGCAGATATGCATACATACATACACATATACATACTACATACATACATAATACATACATACATGCATACATACATACATACATACATACATACATGCATACATATACATATATGCATACATTCATGCATACACACAGACAGACAGACAGGCAGGCATACATACAAACATATATATATATATATATGTGGTATGTGTATATATATATATATATGTATGTATAAATGTATGTATGCATGTGAATATATATATATATATATATATATATATATATATATATATATGTATGGGGCAAGCCGGGGCAAACGAATCATATACTTTTCCACATAAGACATGCACACATACATATACATATACATCTACATCTACATCTACATCTACACATACAAAAACAGCATGTACACAAATGTAGATATGTATATGTGTATATATATGTATATATGCGCACATACACCTACACATATACATATACATATACCTACACAGATACAACTGCATAGACATATACAAATATATGTTTGTGCACATATACGTACATACACATACATACCTACAGACCAACAGACCGACAGACATACACATGCGACCATCATACCGCATGGGTCTATACATATTCTTGTTCCTATATGTCCATTGCCCCGAAGCCCACCCACACACACCCCAAACACCCACACCCCTAAACCGGACACCCCCCCGGACGCCCCGGGCGCCCTCTCGGACGTCTCGGCGGCCACCCGGACGCCCTTGGGAAAGGTCCGCTGGCCCTTCTGGGCCTCCCAGGGCGCCTTGTCGGGCCTTGCGAGCAGACTCAATGCGATCAGAAGGGTCATCGAAGAGGCGCAAGACAAACTCAACATAGCAACACATGAGCGTTCCAACAGGAATCTCGACAGTCTGAAGTCGGCCCAAGAGGCCCCCATGAAGCCACCAGAGGCCGTTAAGAGAGCCCCGAACAAGCAAAACTCGTCCCATTCCTTGTTTAAGAAAATGTATAGTTTAGTATATCCGCTTCCTGGGTTTCCGCAGCATTCAAGACGGCCCGGTGGGACCCCGATATCGCCCCAAGACGGCCCAAGAGGCCCTCCAGAGGGCTTGAAGACGGCCCAGGAGGGCCCCAAGACTGTCCCAGAGAGCTCCGAGACTGCCTACAAGAAGCCCAAGATGCCCTCAGAAGGCTTCCAAGAGAGACCCACGAAAACCATGGGAGACCCCAAAAAAAAACCATTGGAGGCCCCAAGAAGGCACTAGATGGCTTCAGAAGACCTCTGGAGGGCCCCAGCGCCCCAAGACGGCCCGAGCAGGCCCCAGGACGGCCCAAGAGGGCCCCAGGACTGCCCAAAAGAGCCCCAAAAACGCCCAGACGGCTTTTTCCTACGAAGTATATCGAACTGGCGCGGCGATCTTGGTTCCACGCTTGAGGCTCGAGGTCTCAATTCCTCGATCGAGAGAGACAGGCAATGTATCTAAATTCGAAGTTCGACGATCGAAGATTTCCTGAGCGCCTGGAGCCCTCCAGGCATCCAGGAAGCGAACAAAAACAGATTTGTTCGGAGCTACTGCGACTTCTTCGGCGTGTCATGGGAACGCTCTTTACTTCCTCAAAAGTGGACTCAACCACCGGAGGAAGCGGAGGAGGAGGAAAGGAGAAGGAACGGATGGGTAGGGATAAACCTTGGAGGTGGCATATGAAAAGCTCGACGAAACGTTTCTCCCCACCTCCTCCCATGACGAGCGGTGCTGAACCAAACGATGATGTATTGTTTTGCCTGGGAAGCGTCCGGAACAAGGCGCATGGCGCGATGCGCCAATGCAGTCTTGTGTATATATATATAGACACGTACGTGTATACAGATATGTGCGCGTATGTTCACACATGCGTGCATATATACATACATCGCCTTGCCTTACAATACATCACATTATTATACAAGACAACACATTACGATACACTACGCTACACTACACGACATTCCACTCCATTACATTACCTGGCAGAACATCAGATATACATTGCAGTAAATGACATTACATTGCATCACGTTATCGGAGGTTGGGGGGTGAGATCGAAGTGGAACGGAGAGCCCCCCTACCGGGAAATCGATTTCGGTTTCGTGTTCGTGCGTGCCGTGCGTCCGGGCGAGGCGAAGCTGCGTAGGCGGGCGAGAGGAAAGTCTCCTGTGGCTGAGGCGCGGCCGGACCAAATGACTCCCTTCCGGCAACCGGTGCCGCGCGGTGTCCCGCCGGTGTCCCGCTGTGGCTGAGGCGCGGCCGGACCAAATGACTCCCTTCCAGCGTCCGTTGGCTCGCGGTGTCCCGCCGGTGTCCCGCCGGTGTCCCGATGATGACGGTAATGATGATGATGACGACGATGATTATGATGATTATGATGATGATGATGATGATGGTGATGATGGTGATGATGGTGATGATGGTGATGATGGTGATGATGGTGATGATGGTGATGATGGTGATGATGGTGATGGTGATGATGTGATGGTGATGATGATGATGATGGTGATGATGGTGATGATGGTGATGATGATGATGGTGATGATGATGGTAGTGATGATGATGATGATGACATTGATGATGATGATGCTGATGATGATGGTGATGTTGATGTTGATGTTGATGATGATGACTTCGATTGTGAAATCGATTGTAAGATCGATAGTGAGATCGATTGTGAGATCGATTGTGAGATCGATAGTGAGATCGATAGTGAGATCGATTGTGAGATCGATCGTCAGATCGATCGAATGAAATCGATATTGAGATCCGGTGTCCCGCCGGTGTCCCGTCGGTGTCCCGATGATGACGGTGATGATGATGATGACGACGATGATGATGACGATTATGATGATGGTGCTGATGGTGATGATGGTGACGATTGTGATGATGATGATTGTGATGATGATGATGATGGTGGTGATGGTGATGATGATGATGGTGACGATGGTGATGATGATGGTGGTGATGATGATGATGACGTTGATGATGATGATAATGATGATGATGTTGATGTTGATGTTGATGACGATGATGATGATGATGACGTCGATTGTGAGATCGATTGTCAGAACAACAATCACCACTGCTTCCCATTGCTGGGCCCCTCCCCCTCCCAACCTCCTCATCACCCGCAGGGTGGTCGTATAGGTACTTCATGACATTATATTCCATGTCGCTGCATCGCATGGCATTGCATGACATTGTATTGCATTGCAACGCGTTGCATAACATCAAGCTACATTACATCACGTTCCACTGCATCACAGTAAGCTGCAATACGGTTCACTAACTTACATTACCTTACATTATGTTAGATTACGTTGCATTCCATTACAGTGTACCACATTGCATTGAAACACAACACAATACATTCCATTACGATGCACTACATTCCATTACGATAAAATGGTTGACATTAGATTACACTACATTGCACTACATTACAATGCCTGGCAGTACATTACATTACAACGCGTTACGCTTCAGCACGTTACAGCACATGACCTTCAACTACAGCACACAGCATAGATTCAATCGCACTACATTGTTCACATACACGCACGTACATACATACATGCTTGCATGCATACATTCATAATGATATACCGAATAAAGCGGGGTGTAAGAGAGCTGGGAAAGTAGAGTCAGCTACACGATCTAGCTGAACGCATGTTTCAAGCCGCATGTATCCAACCGCAGCGATGCTGTGTCCAAGAAGTACTTCGAGGTATCAAGTAAGCACTCGTGCGCTGCTCCCCTCACAGCGCAAGTCTTCCACAGAGAAGGCAGTAGAGAAGGAGAGGGAGGCCGAGGAGGTTTCGGGTAAGAGGAAGAGAAGGAGGGGGAGGAGGAGGAGGAGGAGGAGGAGGAGGAGGAGGAGGAGGAGGAGGAGGAGGGGCAGCAACTGTGGAGGAGACCGCTCGGCTCGACATCATTGCCCCTGTCGCCACCGTCGCCGTCGCAGCCGCCGCCGCCGTCATCGTTGCCGTTCCGGGGGAACACAAAATACCGATGCCGTTACTCCTCGAACCTCTCCAGGGGTGAGCTCTGGCCAGAATGTCGAGGAGAATCTGGCCGTGGCGGCGAGAGCTCTACGGGACGAGCACCGGCATCGGTACCGTTAGCCCCTCGGGTCGTCGCCAACGTCGGCTCGCTTCGTGGCCGTGGCCGCCGCCGCGGACGCCGGCGTCGCCAACGTCGGCCCGCCGCGTGGCCGCCGCCGCCGACGCAGCGTGGCGCCAACGTCGGCCCACCTCGTGGCCGCCGCCGCCGCCACAGCCGACGCCGCCGTCGCCCGCGTCGGCCCGCCTCGTGGCGACCTGCCACCTCCGAGGCCGCCGTCCGCCGTGACGGGCCTGCCGCAGGCGGCGGCGTCCGCGGCGGCGCCCGCCTCAAACCGCCACGGGTCGATCCGC